GGGGGGGGGGTGGTTGTTCTTTAAAATCTAGGCGTTTGCACTTTTCACATATGCATGTGAAGATGAGGCTTGAGCTCTGCTGACGCATTAAATTCCATCATGAGCGAGCAGTGCTTAGACCCCATTTGCCTGCTCACTGCCAGAATGGTTCCCCTGAATCACTCTGTGACATAGTACTCTCTATTCTTAGAACATCAATGTAAGAAATCACATGAAGGGATTTTCAGATCTTTCACAAAACTCTCTATTAAAGACATCATCACCTTTCATGCGCGTTCCTCATATCAGAAACCCATCTTGTAAAAGGATCCAGATCTCATATTCTCTGAATTTAGAGCCAAAAGAAGGACATCACATTCCCCTGAAGAATGATATGCCTTTTACCTATTTTCGGCAACGAGGAAGCAGATACTCTTTTCCAATTTCCTTAGGAATGAAGTGGGGGATATATAAATACAACCAATAAACAATCTCTTCCTTCCTTGACTTAATTCAACAATTATCTCCTGGTTCACATTCCCCTAGACCATGAAATTCTTAACAGTCAACACTGTATCTTATTCAACTTTGCTTCTCTAGCATTTGTGCAGGGAAGGCACGTAGTGTGTGTGCACAATAAGTACTTGTTAACTGGATGGATTTAATTGATGCTAAAATGTAACCATTTTATCTGGTTCAATTAGGTGACCAGCTCTCTGACTTTATTATAACAATGTGCTAAAATGTATTGAGAAGCAAACAGAACACTCTTAAAATTGGTTGGGTTATAAGGAAACTAAAAGGTGTTTTTTGTTTTTTTGTTTTTCTTCCTTTTCTTTCCTTCTAGCCAGGACTAGAGTGAAAGCAAGGAGAAGTTTTAATATGAAGACCAAAAGACAAGACTGAATTACTCAACCTCCTTTGCTTCTATCTCCAAAGAAAAATGATCTTCAGGCTAGAAAGGACAGATGGACTAAGATAAAGATGAAACTGAAACCCACAATAAGTGAGGGAATAAAGAGAAAGGCATCCTGACACTTGAATTAAGCTCACATCTTTAGGCCCAGGAAAAGTACACCTAAATACTAAAGAAAATACTAAAGAAACATGTAGATGGATATCTGAGCTGCTGTATCTCAGAAATCAGAGTCAATAGAAGAGGTACCAGAAGACTAGAGATAAGCAAATGTCTCCATTTTCAAAAGAAATGCACTTTAGATACAAAACAGTAATACATTCACAAATCCACCCATTATTAAATAACCAAGGAGGGTCACAGCAGACTCCACTTCCCATTAGCATGCACGAGTTCTCCAAGCCCTTACATGAAATGCCCCAGAGAACCTCACTTTCATTTGTGACCCAGCCACTAGACTGGGTACCAGCACCCTAGTCCCATCATCTTCCAGAAAACAAGAGCACTTGATGGGGGCCTGTGAGCCCAAGGTCTGGTCTCACGTCACATGGCAGTCCTGTGACCTGAGAGACAACCTTCCTTGGATTGTTTTCTCATGGGAATCTGACATCTGGAGACTTACTGGGAAGCAGGCGTTACAGAGTCAAAGAATAGGAGCCCTGAAACCAGAGACTTCTAGGTTTCAACTCAGGATCCCAACTGTGCCTGCTTCCTTTTTGGTAAAATGGGTAAGTCCACCTTGTCATTCTTCTGAGGTTTAAATGACTGTACATAGGTAAAATGTCTAGTAAATTGTAGACATTTTATTAATGCTTTATGATGTTTATCCATCCCCTCTAAAGTGTTTCTTCTTTTTCCAGCTCTAAAAACTCAGTGATTCTCAGGGTTACTGTTGTTTTGTTTTTTTTTTTCTTTTAAGTGTTTATTTATTTTGAGAGAGAGTGCACACAAGCAGGAGTGGGATGGAGAGAGAGGAGCGAGATTCCCAAGCAGTCTCTGCACTGTCAGCACAGAGCCCACTGCAGTGCTCGAACTCCCAAACCAGCAGATTATGACCTGAGCCGAAACCAAAAGGCAGTAAGCCCCTCAGGCTTACTGATTTAAAGTTCTAGCAAGCTATCGCAGCTGCCTCCAGTCAGAGAGGGTAGAGAAGGGCTTCTCAGGAAGGTTATGGCTCCACTGACCGTCCTCTATGATGCCTTATTGATAAGAGGCAGAAAGGTGGGCTGGAATAACATGCAAAGATAATCTAAGGCCAGGGTGACGTATGTCCTGGTGAGCCTAGGACAATCCTAATTTATATCCCTTGTCCCAGCATCCTGCCCAGTTTAGCATTTGCCCCAGACAAAAAGACAAATGTGTTCTAGTTTGGATGATAGGTTTTAACAGCTAAAAATCACTGTATTCAGAAACGAGTGCTCAGGAGAGCTCACGGCTGGCTCAAAGGACTGAAGCCAAAACACTTCTATAGGCACATCAGTAGATCAGTTTAAGAACGGTGAGTCACAATCTTTTTCTCCAGTCTCTTGTAAAACATCCTGGTCTATGACATGCAGTCACTGTATCTTGAGAGCATGACAGAAGCCCCTGTGGGCTACAGACCCCCACAAGGAACCCTTTCCAGTGTGCCCCCGAAGCCACTGCGCCCAGTCCCGTGAAGCATTTTTCTCAATTGCCTGGGTGAGGCCAGAGAAGGCATGCCTCTCAGCTTTGAAAAAGATAAAACCTTGCAGGCATAGAACACTACCAGGGCAAATGATCAAGACTCAGAACTACTCTGTGAACTGAAATGACAGACCACAAGCAAATCACATAAAACGTAAGGACACATTTAAAGGCATGCATTTAGGGGCGTCTGGGGGGCTCCACCAGTTAAGCTTCTGACTTCGGCTCAGGTCACGATCTTGCACTTGGTAGGTTTGAGCCCCGCGTCAGGCTCTGTGCTAACAGCTCAGAGCCTGCAGCCGGCTTTAGACTCTGTGTCTCCCTCTCTCTCTGCCCCTAACCCACTTGCACTCTGCCTCTGTCTCTCAAAAATAAATAAACGTTAAAAAATATTAAAAGGTATACATTTAGATTTTTAAAAATTGCTCAAGGACAGGATATGGGAGCTATAGCTTGACAGCACATTCTTTTGAAAACACCGGGAAGTTTCAGCAGAACACAAACCGTAGCCGCTAGAAGTGCAAACACAGTCTCCCATGTTCACAGCAAGACCAAGTTTTAGGCTGACAGAAGCGTGGGGCCGAGGTGTCTGGAGTTCGGGGCCTCAGGGTGAGGCGAACCAGGCAGACAGCAGGTCCACACTCTGCCCATGTGGGAGTCACGCTGCCAGACCAGCGCCAGCCCAGGAGGAGAGGGCCTGGCATGACGGGTAACTGAAGAGGTGGATGCTTCGCTCTGAACGGAAGGAAAGGCATGTCCAAGGGGCATCTCCGTTTCCTTCAGTTATTCCAAAGGCCGCTACGTGGCTAAGAGAGAGGGCTCATTTGGGACTTGTGCCAAGGTGCATAACCAGGGACCGATTTTGTAAGATTCACCTCTGGATTCACACGTAAAGAGATCTTTTCCAATAACTGCAGCTGGCCACACGTGCCATGAGCTGCTCCATAAAGTGGTGGTGACCATCAGCGGGGACACTCCCAGAGATGACTACGGCATCAGGGATGGTCTAAGACTTGGGGTTTCTACAGAGGTGGGAGGTGCACCCATTCTTTCACGGGGCTAATAGCTCTCCAATCTGCCACGTGCACTGCAGAACTAGATGACCTCAGAGGTACTTCTTTTTCCAATGATTCTATTAAAATACAGCTTGGGGTGGCAGCACCTTAAAGCATCATCTGACTTCTCCTAAAGGAGGGGTCACGGTGCTGTGAGCGAAATGAGTGCCACGGTAGCATGTCCTCAGGCTGGGGCACAGGGCAGAGACAGAGTGATTTTCTCCGAGTTCAGGCAAGACAGGGGGACCTCTCACCTGAGTGCCTGCGTGTGGCAGTTTGATATTCTCAGCAGCGGCAGCAACATCAATGGAAGCCCGGACGAGAATGTCCAGGTAGTTCATTTTGGAATATTCCTGTTTGGAGACAAAGTTAGCAAATGCATTAAGGAAGTGAGAGATGTCCTAAGAAACAGCAAATGACTTGCAGGGGACAGCCTCACGGCAGGACCAAACCTCTAGAAACGTGCTGTTCCATAACCTCGAGCGAAGGACAACAGAGGCCTTGCTGTCCAGCCCTCGCAGCGGACAGCTTATGTTCACACAGTTCACGTTCATGCTGCAATTCTGGACAGGACACAAGAGGGGCAGTTAAAATCCAACAGTACAGGGAAGACCTTCCCGCCACCATCTGTCAAACAGTCCTGGCTCTTGAAAAAATACTTACAAGGGTCTGATATTTTCTTTCAGCAAATAAAGAAAATTTTCTGCCATCATCTGTCTGTTTTTCAGCAATTTCCCGTTTCCTTCTTGAGTTGTGAGACTCCTGAAAAGAAATTATATCCAAACCAGTTCTACTTAATGTAATTCTTTGTCCCTAGCATACAAACCCTTGAGCCCTCCCTCCCAAATAACGCCAAATTCACGTAATCAGCAATTAACATCTGCCCGTCTCCTGTCATCGAAGGAACGGAAATAATTTAAGTGTAAAGTCCACAAATGTTCCGATCTCATTGCGAGTTTATTGACTAAGGTCATTTATTCCCACTTTGACTTCAAAACTCAGGCAAAGAAAGAGGCTTTCTATGTTCTTCTGTCTCCTCACCAGACTGAGTACCCTGAGTTCAGGCATCAGATTTCATTGCTTTATCTTTAGCACCCAGCTCAGTAACTAATGTATGGTACAAAATCAGCACATCTTGAATAAATAAATGACACCGAAGAACAAGGAAAAAAGCAAAAGAACTAGTCAGTGACTTATTCAAAGTAGAGTACTGAAAAGTAAGCCATGTAAGAATTCTGCTTCAAAATAGCATTTTCCTTAAGACAGGATTAAGAGTAATGGGCCATCTTGGGTTTTGTTTTTGTTTTTTTAGTTTTATTTTAGAGAGAGAGTGATCTGGGGAGAGGGACACAGAGGGAGAGAGAATCTTAAGCAGGTTCCACTCTCAGCACACAGCCCAACATGAGGCTCGATCTCACAACCCTAGGATCATGACCTGAGACAAAATCAAGAGTCAGACGCTCAACTAACTCAACCACCCAGGCACCCCTGGACCATCTTGTTTTTCAAAGTTGACGAACAGAGGATACTTCTATAAGCCGACAACTGTTAACACTGGTCATACCCGAGTCACTCTACAACTTAAAAGAAACAGACATGCAATAACAAAGCAGATCTGCCAACTGGAGCATAGATGATAAACCCGTTCTGTGCACCAGTACTGAGCAGTTAAGAACACAGGCTCTGAAAACAGGCGGAGCTGAGCTCGAATGCAGAATCTGCCTCTTAACTGCCGAGCTGATTCTTAAAACATTAATCTCTCTGAACCTCAGTTTCCTCATCTATGAAGTGGTAGGGATAAGAAAAATACCTTAAAGGCCTATCAAGGGAATGAAATGAGAAAAAGCAAATAAAATGCTTAGCACAGTGTCTGAGACACAATAAAGACTCGACTAAGTATTCACTATTTTAAAAAATAAGAATGAAAGCTCTGAAGGTCACTTGCTAAGGTGCCAATATCCTTTGTAATGAGTTTGATTCTCCCGGGAGTTAACACTGGCTGGCCAACCCCCAGAAGCATATCCTAGTCCTCTTTATAGGTCATACTGGGCTGTAAAACTCCAGGAAGCGTCATTTCCTTCAACAAGTGCTGAATGACCCTGCCATAACGATCACTAATCAGCAGCAACCCTCAGCCTGACTTGGATACTCAACTGTAACAGAGAAACTGACACCAGAGAAAAAGTCAACATGCCACTATGTCAGTTTCCTAAGGAAAAAGATGATTTTCCCCTCAAAGGTTAGCTTCCCTATTTACATCGATGGAGACAGGAGATAAATCCATCAACATACCTTTAGTTTCAGGGAGTTTATTTCACTTTGCGGCTCACAAGCTATCTTTTCCAAGCCTTTGGATTCTACTTTCACCAAATAAAGCAACCATTTGCCATTGCTAATTTCTTTTGGCCACTGGATATTCAAGGTTGCTGTGCCGAGGTTTTTAAGAGGTTTACCCAAGTTAATAACCTGTTAGAAAATAATACGTATTATATATCTCAGTGTAATTCTCTCAACATAAAATTAAGTAGCAGCTCCTGTTGCCAAGGGAAAAGAAAAAACCCAAATATCTGGCATAATCCTACAGTGAAAGTATGGGCTTCAAAAATTGAGACTACCAATATGGGGTCCAAAACAGAGATTGATGCCTAAAAAAGGTAAAGAGAAATGATTGCTCATTCCCACCCAGGAACTAGTGTGTGCAACAGCATCTGTGGTGTAGATACGCCACACCCTCAACACACTCGGGAAGTCACCAATAACCTGCTTCTGGGAAGCCCCTCCCACTGTAAACATGAAGCAGGCTCTGTCCTCTACTACCCAGGGGAGGCTTGGGTAGCAACGCAGAGTCTGAGTAAAAACCATTATGACAGCCGTGAATCAGGAGTCCAAGTTGGGGACACAGTAACTTCCCGCAGCAGAACCCGAAAGAGGCACGAGCTCTCTTTGTCTGTGCGCGGGGACAGCTGTGGAGCCCAGAGACGCGGCTCTCAGCCACCCCTGCGCAGGCATCATCATGGCCACCGCCACCACCTGTCACAGCTGTGTCTATGATGCTAAGACACACACACACACACACAACAGAATTCAACCCCTTCATCCTGCTGGGGACAGGGGTGGGCACATTCTTGCCGTCTCAGACCCAAATCCACGGATGAGGTATGAGCCACCTCTGTCCTATGCGTTTCTGTTCATCCAACCAGACTTAGAGGCACTGTGTGACTCCTATTTTGAAATGCTTCAGAGCAATCAGTAGTCTTCCTTACTGGCACTGGGCTTGTGAAATGTTAGGGAACATTAGCCACACACAGTAAGAAAGATGTCCTTATGGTGGAGGAAGAAATGAGTCATAACACATTCTAAAGCCAGATATGAAGTACTTTGAGATTTTTGTTTTACAGACAGACTCTGGGGAGGGGCGAGGTGTTCCTTGGTCTCTACACCACTTACACATTAAAACTCTCTAACAGGAAAATGGCCAAACTGAACTGGATTTTGAAAGTCCTATGTTGAATGATGGTCGTGTTCTTCATTGTGGAGGATAAAACTTTTACCGTAAGCCAGTCTGTTGCTTAAAAATTGGTGAACTCACTTTTAACTGAGCATTTATCATGCTTATTTATTAATATTGCTTAATATTGATATTACATACTAAAATCCATATCCACATTTATTAAAATTACATCACATATCCCCATATATAGTATATGTTAGCTTTTAGTATATATAGTACGGAAGACCAACTGTTTCAACTCACCCTGAACTCATACTCTATTAAACTTCCCACCTCATCTTCAGATTTCATAGCTTGCTCACCAACAACTGTTCCTCCAAAATACACCTGGGAAGGTTTAGCAACTCTGTTAAATTAAAAAACACCAGTTTTAGCAAGATTGTAAACGGTTCTTTTAAACACTGATTTGTTATGCTAAACACAAACACTTACCCAGAGACCGATAAAAGCAGTTCAATAACCACTTTTGCTGTAGCTGTAATTGAAGCCAAATTATCTTGATTGCTTGTTCTGAAAATGAAAAGGAAACAATAGGGTTTCATTTTAACCGTCAGTTTTCTCATTACAATTACACTTCTTTTAGGAGTTCGAGCAGAGCTGGTTCTTTGGCTGTGTTTTCATGAAATAATTCTGAATGGAAAGGTTGAAGAAACGCTTACGTTTCCAGCTTCAGATTAATATCCAGATCTGTGGTGTCAAAGGTAACCTCAGTTGTACTTAAAATCAAATAAAAAGTCACCTAAACAAATAGAAAGAGATGTTACCAGAGATCAAGCATGTCAACACTGTAATGGCACGTAGAACAGTACAATACAGTATGTAAAGGCATCACCTACACTGGAATTTCTTTTAAAAGGATTTCCAAGTTCACAGTCTGCTTGTGAGCCGTTCTGATTGGCAACACAACTCAACTGTTTCTCCTGTAACAAAAAAAAACACGAGATCACAACGCATTCACTTGCCGCACGGCTCTGGGTGTTTCCTCCTCACAGCTCTCCAAAAACACTTACAGGGAAAGCCCTCAATTCTCTGTAGGCCGAGTAAGTCAGAGTGTCCGGAAAAGTTGCAATGAGTTTAGCTTCATGAGCGTCATCGCCGTCTTTTGTGGGGTTCCTTGGATTGGAAGGGCTGTTTGTCACTGTGATTTCTAAAGCAATGTCCTTCTGGTCTTTTAGAACTAGTTCTGGGACACCTTTTTGACTATTAAAAAAACAATGCAAAAAAAAAAAAAAACACAAAAAACAAGAAAAATGACAGAGCCCTCAGTACATTTTCAGTAACCCACTGCAAAGCAGTCATTTTTGCTAGGATGACAGAGCGATTCTTACATTGGTAAATAAGAAAATTTGTCTTGATTTCCTTCCCGGGTACAAAATTTATATTCTAGTTTAAGGTTGCTGTTACATACATTGTCGGCTCCACATCCCTCTTTTAAGAAGTGCACCTGTAGGAAAACAAAACCATTGTAATTTATGCCATTTAGGACCCTCAACAGTGACTGGCTGTTTCCACACAGTCCTTTCCCTGTGTGACAGTTACCACAGCACAAGCTTCAAAGGTACTTTGCCATGCATCCAATGCCCACTCTGTGCTTTAACAGAACCACGCTTTAAGAACACTTTGGCCATGGCATTGAGGTGCAGTAAAGAGCGTGAGCCCTGCAGCCACACAGGTCCATGTTCAATCCTGGCTCTGCCACTCACTTAGCCACGTGGCTTGGGGGAAGTCACTTAACCTTTCAGAGGCTAAGTTTCACCTTAGGTAATATGGGGATACCACCACCCTACTTGCTAGGGATACTGTAAGAATTACCAACAATAATGATGATGCTAACACACGACTACATATTTTAACTCAATCCTCACAACAGACTTAGGAGGATATTGTTACGGGCTCCACTGTACAAATGAGGAAACAGAGTTTAAGATCAGGAAAGCAAATGGTACAGCGCTAACGGGTGCTCAAGAATCACACTGATAAACAGGAAAACAGTCTCCCTGCCTGTTATGTTTAACTGGACTACAGAGCTAGGAATAGACACAAGAAATATTCACGTGATGATAACATCCAAAGTCTACGAAAAAGTATACGATAGTGTAAGGAACCACACTTTGTGACAATGAAGACTGGCAACGTGTAGACTGAAGCAGGTCTCCCTGCTGAAAGGCTTCACCCGTGGGCCACCAGAACCAAGAGCCTCAGAGTGGATGCTCCAGCACCAACTGGATTACGACAGCAAGTGCACGATGACAGACCAAGATGCCACAGCTCTCCAGCCTAACCCTGTATGGCCACCACCCTAAGCCCAAATAGACCCCACCTTATATGAGGCATATGGCAAGCCACGTTAATTTTTCTTCCCAAGATTACATAGGCTAGGCTACATTAGCCACTAGATGACTATTTTATGGCTACTCTTTTTCTGCCTTGCTGAATTGTTATATGCCTTGACTTTTTTTGAGTTTATTTATTTATTTTTTGAGAGAGAGAGAGAGCGAGCGAGCACGTGCACGTGCGAGCAAGCTCAGGGGGAGGGGCGGAAACAGAGGGAGAAGGAGAATCCCAAGCAGGCTCAACAGGGCTCGAACCCATGAACCATGAGATCATGACTGGAGTGGAAACCAAGAGACGCTTAACCAACTGAGCCACCCAGGTGCCCCTGTGGTGCTTGATTTTAATGTTCAGACTAACAAGTTTGTTTTCTACATTTTAATGTTCTCAATGGTATAATGCAATGTATTTTTCTTTGTACATACGGCTACAAAAGAAACTTGAAGTGAGAGTAAGTTCTGCCAATTATAGTCTCAGTAAGTTCCAGTGGCCAAAAATTATTCAGAACAATACTCTGGTTCCAAATTGTATTCCATATGTTTCTATTCTCACTATTAATTTGGGAAACAAATCTCAACCAAACTTTGCATATATTAAAAAACCTTACCTAATACAAAGGAATAGATTTTAAAGCAAATCACTAGTCATACTGCCTTCAAAGACATGTGATGTAACATAATAACACGGCAAAAGCTTTGGCCATACAAAAATCAGAAAGACTTACATCTCTATGAACTGTCTTGGGTTCGTTTGAATTCAGGATCGGAAGAATTTCTGGAAGTGAATTCACTCTCCTCCGTGTGGTTGGCTCCTGGATCTCTACTGAAGCAGTTATGGGAATGGGGCGTAGTTTATCTCTGATATTTTCCTGAAAAGTATGCAGAGTTAAGCATGGTGTCAATGCTCCTGGGCAAACAATGATTTCCTTTTTATTATTTTTTAATTTTGTTATTATTTTTTAAAGAGAGAGAGAGCACAAGTGGGGAAGGGGCAGAGAGAGAGGAAGACACAGAATCCGAAGCAGGCTCCAGGCTCTGAGCTGTCAGCACAGAGCCCAATGCGGGGTCGAACCCACGAATCATGAGATCTCTACCTGAGCTGAAGTTGGACACTTCACCAGCTGAGCCCTAAGCACCCGCAATGCTTTCTTTCGTACTGAATAATAAGCCGCTGGCATAAATTTCAGAAATCTACATATGCCACCATAAAACCCAACTTCTGTCCTAACAGCAGACGTGACTGTCTGTGGGCCTCACCTGCAGCCAGAGGGTCTCCTCCATGCACGCACTCTGCTTCTGCCTGTTCAGAGTTAGCTCTTGAGTATACTTGGGCTCAGAGCCTTGGTTTCGAAACTGAACTCTTGATGACAGCCCAGATTTTCTTCTCTCCTTTTCCGCCTCAAGTGTACCCAAAATGGCTAGATAAAATGAACAAAATCATATGAACTTTAAGTGCATCCATGTACAGTTCAGCCAGAAGTATGGGGAGTTCCCTTTTGCGTTTAGTTCCTTGCAGAAGAATACTTTTCCCATTGTCCTTGTTGCTCTTCATATTTCCTGATAACGTACATTTTGACTGATTTATGGTGTTTCAAATCAAGCTGTCCTTTCCTGCCCACTGCTGTTAATAGTTTATTTGAAGTTAAATTTCCATTGAGCCACCTGGGGGAGCTCGAGAATAAGTCAAAACCTCTGAGCAGCATCCAAGGATTTCCGGCTAAATTTCAACAACTCCTAGAGAACTAAAGATAATGGGGATCCAACACTCCTTAAAGGCAGACACTGATTCCCATTCAGCTGTCTGTTGCTTATGTGGGTCCATGTCTGCATATTAACAAAAGGTCTCTGAACCAGGTCTCCTCAGGTCTGTTGGGAATTCAGAACCTCAAGCCCCAGCCAGACCTAGTTAACCAGAATCTACATTTTAACAGGACCATCAGGTGGTTCTTATACATGTTAAAGTTTAAGATGCACTGATAAAATGTTGGCCAAATGGGAATAATCGATATTAGAGAAGTCTTTTAATAGGAGACTTTTCACTTAAAAGAATTAAAAGATAAAACATATTCCTTTTAGAAGCTAGAGGGCCCAGCTACTGTATCTCCCACAACCAAAGTTTCCAACCTCCTCGAAGGCACATCCCGTTCCTGATTATCTGTACCAATGGAGCTCAGAGGGCAAGCCAGGATTTGGACGATCAAAATCTCATTTCTTGACCTCAGAATGCATTCTCTGCTGGTTTGCTGGATGTAGCTACTGTGTTTCTTTATGGGACAATATTTAAATAACTTACATTCATTCATTAATCACTCACTAACCATCAGGAGGGGAAGAAAACCAAAGTGTGTACAGGGCCACAGAAGGCAGCCTCAAGAAAAGAAAACAAAACAAAACTTCTCCAGAAAGTGTACAAAATGAACCACCCATGTTCTAATATTCATGCTGGAGTTCAGAAGAGGCCTCAAAGAGCATCTATTTTAATACCCTTTTCTTGCAGATGAAGAAATGGGACGCCCACAGAGGTAGGAGACTGGCCCAGGATCATACAGTGAGGGACAGAGGCAGCGCCAGCTTCTAAGTCTCTGTCACAAACACACAAGACAACTGCTTGATGAAGGCCTCTTAGATGTCCAGGTTCCCACTTCCTCTAGGCCTCTGCTTCAGTCACTCTCTTCTTCTGCCAGCTGGACCCCTTCCCTCTCCACTTCCCCCTGACTGCCTGGCTAACTCGACTCCTCCTTCAGATCTCAGCGTGGACATCAGTTCCTCCAGGAAGACTTTCCCGGCCTCTCCAGGGGGATCCGACAGTATTCTATTTCCCCAGCCAGTGCACTTAGCTACTGTGCTGTGATCGCCCGACCGTCTTCCCCAGGCAAAAGCGTAGACAGGGACCACGTCGGTCTGCCCGCCACTGTGTTCCCCAGCAACAGGACAACACCTGATGTAAGTATGATTTTTAGAACAGACGAACGGAAGCGGGAGTGACTGGCACAACACCCACATGCACACCGATGCACACACAGGCATGTGCACGAACAACGTGACGTTATTCTTATGCCGAAACAATAGCCAGTCGGATGTGTGAGACCAAAATTGAGAAACACTGACACTTTCAATAGTAATTTCTGCCAAATGGAATGTGCCTCCATTTTAGCCTTGTAGCCTTGACATCATCCATTTATCAATGACCTGTTAACTTCACAATGAACCAGATGAAGGCTCACATGCTGAGTGCCCCTCACAGCAAAAGTAGGGGAGGGTGTGGGTGCATTAAAACCGTTTATCTACCAAGCCCACTCTAACCTTCCCTAACCCTCCAGACAGTTCACATCATCTTAAAATCCTTGCAGGCCACCTTTGCTGACCTTTTGAGGGGCAAGCCAAGTAGAATACTCATTAAGGCTCAATTATAAATATCCGTATGTATGGAACACCGCATCTGAGGACTATGGAGTTAAAATAGCCTGATCAAACAATAAGCTCACATTCTCAGACTCTGGGAACAGATTTGAGATATATCAACTCATATAGCTTTGTGGAAGTTCTATTTGACTTAGAATTACAGGAAGTACAGGAAATGAAAAACAGGGTCCCTCTAAATGTCTTCACAGAAAAAAGTTCTATCCATATTAGGCCATCGGTAAACACCTGGCTAATGGAGTTGTTCGTAAACACTTGGTTAATGGAGTAGTTACTGAATATGAATTTCATACCCAGGGCATCAAATGCTGCACGAAAGCTAGAACGAAGTTCGTGACTGTATAGAAATGTTTGATGTGGGAGGAGACAGGGAGTTCTTGAGGAGGTTTCACGTCTGTGGTCAGAGATGTATGGGAAAATGACTGACTGAGAAAGATGTCTCCCCATTTCCTCTCCTCCTCTAGTCAGAGAATTGCAGTTTCTCCTGGTCTCTCTAGTCTACTCCAAACCCAGAGGTAAAACGCCCGTTATCCAAACAGACAAGTGTGAGGTACTGCATTTGGGTACAAATAACACAAAAGATACTGAAAGGATGACGGGGTGTGAGAGACCATGGAAGATGTTTTCTTCTCAGTGGGCGCCACGCAAAGAATCGTTTCCAGTACCGAATAAAATACCAGCCACGTCAAAAGGCAAAGGGCACAGGCCATGACACAGCCACAGCAAGCACACTTCAGGCAAGGTCTGCAGATCCCAGCGAGAGAGGCTATGGCGGCAGACAGCCCAGAAGAGGGGCCTAAAGAGATCAGGGAGGTAAAGAAACTGCCTGAGGATGGCTCAAAATATGGAAAGACGGAGGCTTAACATACAAAAAGGGGGCCTAGGACAATGTGAGCTGGGTGGAGACGGACATGTTTGCCAAATCGTGGGACATCATAAGGGACATACGGTTAACAAAGAAACGGAGTAGTACTTTAGGTAACAAGGAGGAAACGTAAGAAAGCTCATTAGCTCCAGTAAAAACTGAACGCCACCCTGTCCCTTCAGAAAGCTGCCCCTGGTAGCATGCTACGCCCTCACCGCAGGCCTCTGGGACTACCGCCTGACCTAGGATGGAGGTCACCGTCACTCTTTGTACCTGCTCTTCGGGAAATGGTTTTCTTTCAATTCCCGTGCCCCCGTCTTGCCTCTGGAGCTGCAGCAGGTGGCTTACACCTGAAAACTCATGGCTGTTAACTAAAACATAGCACAGAAGGCTTTGGTGACGAGCACTCCTGTTAGAGTACCATTAGCCTTGTCCAATCCTGGGGCAGAAATCCTGTTTGGATTGTAGGGAAAGGGAGCAGAGTAATACCTTGTAAATGACAAACAGCTTTCACCACAGCATCTCCTTTGCTCTCACCACAATCCTCTGTAGTAATTCTATTACAGGCATTTTTCTTACTGACAGGAAAATGCAAACTCAAATATTAAGAGACTTGCTCTGTGCGTCAGGGTCGGCCAGCCTCGGAGCTGGAACCAGGAGCAGAGCCCAGGGCTCTGAATTCTCAAGACCGGCCTTCCAGCTGTGCAGGAATCTGCACTCAGGGACACAGCGTGGGTGTTCCAGGCCGTGGAGGCCTCCGGGAGGGGACAAGGGGGTGAAAAGAGGCTAAGGCGGCAATTCTGTGCAACGCTCAGGCTGTGGCTCTCACTCTTCTCTAACCACCCCCCACCACCTCACAGCCACAAAACCAATTTTCCACATGGCTCTTCAAAGGCAGAAATGGAGGAAACAGTTGTGGTAGCAAATGACTGCTCTCCCAAGGCATCCTGTCCTAAACCATCTGCTCTGGAAAATCTAAATGAGGACCAAATGGAGTGTTATTCCCTCCTGATTAAAGAGAAGACAACAGATACACTGAATTCCGTAAACACGAATTTATGAACCCAGCTTGGCCACTGCAGTTTTTATTTTTCTGTTATTTATGCAGAACTTTCACCCTGGCAGATAGAAAATACAGAATTTTTAAATGTACTGGGTACTCACATATCGAAGGATTGTAACCTGTGGGTTTGGCAGTATATTCAAAACAGGCCTTCACCTGGAGGCTGTATAAAATCAAACACATATGCCTTAAAAGATCCATTACTACAGCAGAAAAAAACTCCATGTTCCCCAGCTCTCAAATACCCCACTGCCCACCGATGAGTAAAATGTTATATATTCACTTGAGAATCCCTGTCCCCTTTGCCCATATCTGTCTACCCTTGCCTATGGCTCCCCAGGGCAATCGGGTCATCATAAAGCAGGGCTGTGAAACTGAGGAGGTCATGGGGACCTGGGTGGCTCAGTCGGTTAAGCGTCCGACTCTTAATTTTGGCTCAGGTCATATCTCACAGTTCGTGAGATCAAGCCCCACATCAGGTTCAGCTTGGGATTGTTTCTCTCCCTCTCTGCCTCTCCCCTGCTCATGCTCACTCTTAAAATTAAGAAACTTAAAAAAACAAAAAACAAAAAACAAAAACACAACACTAAGGAGGTTACATACACAAAGCCAAAGCTCTCACCATATCCCACTAGGTGCCCCACAGAACATTTTCTGGCGGAGATCAATCGTGTTCGGTGTTACGGTGAGGGTTTTCTGAATATTAATCACAGGCCGGGACCTGAAAACAAAGGAATAAAAAAACACAGGCTTAGCCTTTTGCTACCTTGAGTGGGAGATGAATTTACATGCTATCAGCTGCCTACAACATCTTAAAAACCAGAGGGGGAAAAAAATGTTCCCCACTGCCAAAGAAAATAACAGATACCATTGAAAACCTGATGACACAATTTTTTTTTAAGTTTTAAATATAACATTTTATAATTATAAAATGTTTTATAGTTTTAGCAGAGTTTTTAAATGGTAAGTAATATGTGTGATATGTAAAAGTTCTAGAATTTTCAGGTAAGTGTTAGGTCTCTGTCCCCATCCAAACCCCCAAGTGGCCTGGTATGTATGTCCTTCCAGAAACCTATTTGGTCTTTGTGTTTCTGTTAAAAATATTACCTGAAGTTAAATCTAGAAACATACATATGCTTTTCTTCAATGGGAGCTTTACTGGCTTCTTGTTCTGAATGTTGCTTTTTCTAACATTTCAGAGGCCTTCTCCTATCTATCCATAGATCTAGTTTACGGTTTCTCGCAGCTGGTGGTGTTGCTCTGTCCCCACACAACATCATTTATTTAACCAGTCCCTAACGGGTAGACATCTGATGCTGTTTTTAGGCTTGCAGCTCTGACAAACATCCTTGTATCTGCTTCTCGGCACATGTTTGAGTTTACCTGTAGGATAAACTCCTGGTGGAACTTCTGAGTCAAAGAATACGTACATGTTTTAAATTTGCCAAAATACGTTCAAAAAGGTTAAAACCCCATATACACCCAACACCGGGGATGCAATCAGGGTTTCTACATACATGAGTTGTATTATTACAGGCAATCCTTAGCTCTCGGATATCCATCCTAAAACATTTGCCCTTCCTTGCTCCCATCCCCAGCCTCAAGCCTTTGTCCTCTTGCCACCAGAATGGAGCACAACTTTTCTGCCCCAACAGTATCTCTGTAAGCAGAAACTTCGAGCCCTTTGCCTTTTTTCTGCCCTGCCTTAACCCCGACCTCGCAAATGCTCAAGAAGCTGGAATCCCACACCTCTGGTCCTTCTCACCATATGAAAACATCCTTGCTATCCCTTCCATCTTCTCCCCTACTCCCCACAGCCAGTGGGGTCACCCCCAGCCCACGTCCTGAACTCTGCCGCAGGTACGAGAAATCCAGCTAGACGGTGGCTGGGAGTGTAAGTGGATGGGGAGACAGACCCCTCGCATCTCCATCACTCCTCAGCCAGAACTCAGAATGGGTTCCATGGTTTTATTACCACATGGATCCAGTTCGACTGACTTCAGCAGTCTTCTGGTAACCTAGCCGTCTTGGGTAAGATGTTTGATAAGCATTCCAAATCCCTTACAGGTAACTGGAACTTCTGGACTCCATCTATCCGTAGGCTAGAAAAGGCATGAGAACATTCGTGGGCAAGGTGGAAGCCTATATAAAAGGACAAATGCTGCCCACCTTCTCATTTGTAGATTTCCTTTTATCTCAATTAGTTACCTTTCTATTGTTATTTCAGACAGCTGCTGGTTTCTAAGATGCTAGATATATTTCTAATTAAATTCTAGATATATTTCTAATTAAAGTTTTGAGAGCATATTTAAGAGACAAAAATCCACAAACATCTTATAACCAATTGCTACAGATGCAAGAGTATTTCATGTATGATAGTATTAAAGCTTTAATGTGACATAAATATCAGAAGGATATATTTTAACATACCTTCTGCCTAAAACATTTTTATTTTTTAAAGTTTATTTATTTATTTTGTAATGTTTATTATTTATTTTTGAGAGAGAGAGAAAGAGCATGAGCAGGGGAAGGGCAGAGAGAGAGGGAGACACAGAATCTGAAGCAGGCTCCAGGCTCTGAGCTGTCAGCACAGAGCCCGACCCGAGGCTCAAACTCACAGATTGCAAGATCATGACCTGAGCCAAAGTCAGATGCTCAACCGAGCCACCCAGGTGACCGAAATAAAATAAAAATCACCCAGGTGATTTTTAATGCTGATTCCCAGCAGTGAAAAGGGGGACTCAAGCAAAGGTGATGGGCAAACTACTGTAGCCCTTCTGGAGGTCATTTTGGTGAATCTGAATCCAAAGTCTGAAAACACATATGCCCTTTGACTTTTGAAATTCACTTTTAGGAATTTATCATAAGGAAATAATTCAGGACATGAACAAAAGTCAAGATTTTACCAGCTTTGTGTATCATCAAAAACAAACCTGGAAAGCAACATAAATATCCAATGACAGTATGGCGGTTCTTAACTAAATTAGGACCCAGCCATGTGACGCCTTATAGGCGGCCATAAACTTCATTTCAGAAAAGTGCTCAACGAAAGGGGAAAAAACACCTGTACGTTATAAACTCACTTACATGGAAGAAGTCCACTAATGCATTACAAACTGACAAAAGCAGGTTATAAAACAATATGTACGTTATGATCTCAGTTTTGTTAAATATACATGTACGTTCATAGCAAACAAAGGACTAAAAGGATGTAAACCAAGATTTTGGAGCTTACTAATGGATATTAAATACAGGGGATGCTTATTTCCTCCCTTATAAGCTTTGTCCTGTCAAATTTTATGTTTCAGTTTTTACCAAAATAGAAGGTTTAAAAAATATTTATGAAGTAGAATTTTCACCAATTCTGACTTTTTCCTCAATTCAAAATTAGCAAGATTTTACAAAACATGTCACATTGTTATACCACTGTCAAAAGAAAAATCTTCAAAATTCATACAAGCTTTTGACTTTGAAATACAGGTATTACAATTTTCAATTAAAAGGGTCAAATCTGAGTGTAACCAGATTACTGAACATGCTTCACTGAAGTCAGAGATCGCATACCTGAACACAGTTACTGAGTCTGAGAGTGAACCAACAGCAACATCAGGGTAGGAATTTCTATCAAGGTCCATATTTCCAGCAATTGAATATCCAAAATAAGGTGTTTTACCCTCAAGAATCTGAAATGAACAAAGCATCAGGATGAACGACTGGCCCACCAAAACGAGCTTCTCTGTGCTTTCAAAAAGCCACATGGTTCCTTTTAAACTGAAGTTCAAGAGTTTGCTTATAAATGATACTAAATTATAAATGAGTTATAACTAAGTCTACATGTTATCCAACACTTCATATGTTTTATTTCATAGAAGTCATCTGATTTACATTGTATCTCAAAGGTTTTGAGACAAGTTTTGATGAGCTTCTTTACTATATACCAAACAAACCTCTCTGCCTGCCCTCCAAATGTCTTATCCTTCTCAAAAGCAATTTTTAATTTTTGGAGTCTCAATTCTCCATGTAATCACAATCATCTATTTCACGTGCCCCATTTTTACCTCCATTTAGTATGCTACTAAAGGAAAGATATCATATTTCCATCTATTTGTGCTGTCCTGGCAAAATCATCTTTTCCTTTGTATTACTTCAACTCCTAATTTATCTAAGAAATTTTACAATTTAAATAAGCACATCTACATCATTGCATTTGTATCTATTTCCAAGCTATCTTCTAACAGTACGTTTTTTAACTACAAAATTCACACTATTATAGATTTGTAAATAAAACATGAGTAGCACGAAAATGCACATAAACCCAAATGCCCTATTACAAGGCAAAAAGCTAAGACCCTTATTGTAGAAATCCAGGCTGTCTGGTTACCTGTGTTGGCTTGGTGTTTATTCCGTTCGGGGATCCGTGATAGATAAAAACCTTTCCCAGATCATCATAGGGAGCTCCAACGGCAATATCTGTTGAGGACATCACATTTCAACAAACACTACATTTTAAAAACGTTCCAATACAACATTTCAAAATAAGATGCCATGAGCACTCATCATCTTAGACAATCAATCTACCTATGAGCAGCATAACTGTTTCACAATCTATTACCTACCTTGGTAGCCATCTTGATTAATGTCACCAATATTTTTTACTGCAATGCCAAACATGGAATCTTTGGTTCCATTGAGACGAATTGGCTTCACATTATTCCACCTGCCTTGCTGGTTAATGTAAACATACACCGCACCTCCGACCTCTCCATCTCTATCAAAATACTGTGGGGCTCCAATAACTATATCTTGCCACCTAAAAATACAACAAGGGATAAAACAACCATCAGCTAAAATACCAGTAAGCTCACGGAGGATACCTCCAGCCCAGGTATTAGGGACACAGAGATAGGATGTGGAAAGGGTCTCAAATCTGGAATTCATTTCTCATCAATTAAAACATTTTAAGGTATTTTTATGTAATGTTTAGGTAACATACTGTTTAGGCATGTAAATGTTTATGCTTAGGTAAAACATTTTACATGGTAGCCCGTAATAAATGCCCAAAGAAAAATATCAAAGAACCTGAAGACAGTCCCCAAGTTAGAACGAGCGTGCACAGAGACTCCCCTCCACCCACCACCCGAAATGGCACCACCAGCCATAACTATTACTCTGTCCCCAATCCAATCCCTACTTTCAAAAGGACATCCTAGATGCTCTGACAGCCCCTGAAGAAATCACAGAAGAACGATGTAGGTGTCATTTTTCAAGTTAACTTTTTCTCCCCCAAATTTTAATTCTCACAGACCCAAAACGTGAGTTTTGATCTGAAAACTGAAATGTAATCCTACACCATGGGGAGGGCAATGAAGGTCTGCTGCCAAAATACAAGTGATAAAGATGTGACAGGATAGTAAAAACCTGGCAGCAAAAACACTCTTTGGAATCCACTAACCTGAAAGGATGGCTCTTCTCAAGACCTAAAGAAGCCAAAGAACCAACGATTTCTTGGCAAGCGTAAAACAACCTAAGACCCTCTTACCCATCTTTATTAAGGTCCACCACTGCCACGTCATAGCCGAATGACGATGCCAGACCCTCCCCGTCGAAAATGTGCTCGGGGAGAAGATGTGCAGACTTCATGTCTCTTTTCAGCAAAACCACAGCTCCACTGTGGTTGGCTCTTGGAGCACCGGACACGAAAGTGAGCTCATCTTTAGAAACAATACCTTTTCCTGAGTCCAAAGAAAAGCCTAGAAACACAAAGTAACAGTTCACATCACCCCGTATTTCAGGAGGTATCTACCATTGGTAACCCCATCACTACCTCTTCCTCTGGCTTCCAACCCTCTCCTTCTGAGCCTCTCTACCAGCTTATCACATTTACAACGCGAAAGAGTTACAGAGGTAAGAGGTCTGACTCAAGTACAAAGAAGTAGGCTATTTCATTGCTCTCTCAGGAAATATATTAAGACTTTTAGAGGAAACCACCTATGCTATTTAACATCTGTGTAACTTGAATCATGGAGCATTCATGCATCTGAAGAAGCTGCTCAAACCCCATTTTAATACTGGAACTGTGGGCCAAAGGAGGTCAAGCTAGATAGTAAATTATCACGGGAAAGGGTACACAGAGATACAACCAGACACAGCATACCTGAGTGCATGCTATAGGGCTCTGCTATAATGTAATGATTAGTGATCTCCTTGGTAATCAGGCAAGAACAAATGCTAACATCATTCGTATACCACAGGCAACATTTCAGTGTTTTGAACCAACTTGATTCTTGGACACAAACATGCAAACAAGACCATGGCTGGTGAGATACAGTATTTGAGAACCCAGTATAAACAATAGAGGTGAGCAAGCTGTCATTGATGACAATTACATACTTGTTGGGAGGGCAGAACATGTGAGACACCTGATTATAAAGCATCAGGTAGGATGTCAGATAACAGACTGAGATCTGGTAGCAAGTGAGTGTAAACGCCTCCATCAAAATCACTTGCATTAAGCAAATCTTGCTATGTAAAGGTGAGGCAGATGCAGAATGGTGTAAGCTCCCCCTTTTTAGTGGGATTTATAAAAAGCTTCACCACTACTGTTGTAATTCTCAAATTGTGAAGTTTGAGTGGCAAAATACGATGAGCTCCAAGTTTAGAAAAGGGTGATATAACCGAATCCAGCTCTGAAAACCATCCGGGAGCAGAACCTCAACAGTGGCATGATCTCATGTGTGTGCTCCACTTAAAGGAAATAAAAAATAAAAAGATGGATGCTCTGTATGGATCAAAAAAAAATTCTTAAATGACCATGACCAAGAGAATTTATTTGTCATCTCAGAGGTCACAAACCTAGGTAGCTATTCATCATCACATCAGGGGACACGTTGGACCGCTCCCTGGGAGGCTGTGTTTTGTAAACAAACTGATCAGGATCTGCGTAGGAAACGCTGGTCAAAAACAGCAGGCCTGGACACGTGCACGGAACAGAAGAGATTGAAGGGAAAAGCAATTACGCTCTGTAAGAGGCACGAGAGCTTCAGCTGCTCCAGCCGAACGATGAGGCCACCAAGCCACCACCGCATCTAGCAAGCCACCCTCTTTGCCAGCTTCCCGAACCCCAAGCTGATCATTTTATTCCTTAAAACCACAGACTCGTTGAAATGACAGAGGCACAGACAGCACGGACAACAAAACATGTAACGACACAAACTTGACTGTTTCCCCTGCCAGACACCCACATTGGAGGAAATCCATTCATCAAAGTGGCAAATGTGCTTAATAAAAAGTGCTGAATCCTTTCAGATGCTCCAATAGCATCTATGTTTACAAAAATCCATGGGCATCTATCTTAAAGACTAGACCACTGGTTTCTTGACCATGAAGTCAAATTTTCATTTACAATTAAATACTTCTCTCTCTCTCAAAAATAAACATTAAAAAATTAAAATTAAGTACGTCTTGTCACAAATAACCCCTAAGTAACACGCTTGATTGGACAGCACATATATTCGAATAAAATATGGGTTTGTTGACAGTATTTATCCCGAAAAACCGTATTTAATATTGAGACTGCAAACTGCTGGCACCTGCATCCTTTCCTGTCCTGCGAAGCCATGGACGTGGTGGCACTCATGCAATCCAGCCGCTTCCCACCCTGACCCTGTCACTTCCATGAAACTTTCTCTCCTAGGCTGAGGGATCAGTAACTGTATGACCTTAGACTAAGAAATTAATCTTCCTAAGATACACTGTTTTCATCATCAAAAGAGGGATAATCATACTTATAATGTTTTTGGGAAGGTCAAGTAAGACCTGTAAAGTAGTAAATATACCACATGACTTAGAGCACATGAACCACACTTAACAAGTGATAAATTTAATTTTGCTCTGCTCTCTTGTATGCTTTCACATCAAATTTTTAATTTGGGGGCAGGAGGGAATGTCTGAAAGGTTGTTTTTTTCCCCTAAATTAACAGGATCATTCATGTATATGTACATAATTAGGCCATCTTAAGAATCTGTTTACTAACACATTGATAACAACTATTCTTTGTGTTGACTTATCTTCCATTGTTCCAGTAACATCTCTAGCACAGGGGGACTTTAAAAAAAAACAGGTTACTATTTAGGTTTAGGATATTTTTTTACATTTTTTTCAAGAAATGTGCAGTAATTATTCTTTATGTCAACTCATACCAAGAATTAAAGCTTTTAAAAGCCTTTGTGTAATTACCATAATGCACACGAATGATTTAGGACGCCCATTAGTAATGCAGACAAGCCTGAGGAGTTAGGGAACTGGCACTTAGACACGATCTGGGTGTCCTCCAGCAGTCCTGCCCAGCTTCCGCTGGAAAGCTGCCATGCCACCCGCCAGGGGCCCCGTGACATGGGGGCCCCGATCCAGAAGCCGGGCCAACCCTGGAAGATCGACAGTCACAAAGGAAGGACGCGGAGGTTTTGACCCGCCACTGCAGAGTAACTTCATAAACGGAGCTCTCAAGAGTATCTCTAGAAAGAGGATACGGCTCAGCTGACTGCTAACATCCATGCATTTTTTTTCCCCACTGCATGAACAGCCTGTTTCAGGTTACAGAGGCCGATGCTAGCCCAAGAGATGGGCTTGAATGCAAGAGGTTTCCCATCTTGAGGGAGCCCAGGTCAGAAGGGAAGGGTCCCAGGCACCAGTCAGGTTACCTCAGGATCACCAAAGCTTAAACCCGACTGCTCATCAGAGCAGCCACAGGCCCCTGGTCCCGCCTGGCCCGTCCTCAGCCTCCAAGTCCAGGTCCAGGGAGGGCGCTGTCACACTGAGGCATCTGAAAAGACAGGCACGCCAAGCTTTGCTCATTCCTACCTAAGTAACTGTTAGCAGGAACAGGAACTAGACTTTCGTCATGGTCAGTCTCTCCACCAACTTCGTAAGGCCCATCTTCAAAGATGTTCATGTCAAAAAAAGTGTTATTCTTTTGCTCTACGCGAACAATGCCTACAGGAATGAAATGGCAAAACAAAAAAACAAAAAAAACAACAACAACAAAAAACAATGAAGATGAAAACAAAATCAAAGAGATGGTTCCTAATAAACATGCCTCGTGTTATCACTGTCAGTATAGGAAGAAAAGTCTAGAGGAAGAAAAGGCAAAGGAAAGGGGGCTTTTGAGGTTATTAAAGTTTAAAAAATCATGTTCGTGTGAATTTTTACAAAGAAATTGTTCTAGTTATTAAAAAAAAAATGCACCATGCATTTTTAGGAATTATCTTTATAATGCCACCAACTAGATGGAAAATGGAATGTTTACTTAACTAAACCTACAGAAAATAACTTTTTATTTTTTTTATTTTTATTTTTTAATTTTTTTTTTCACATTTTATTTAGTTTTGAGACAGAGAGAGACACAGCATGAACGGGGGAGGGTCAGAGAGAGGGAGACACAGAATCTGAAACAGGCTCCAGGCTCCGAGCTGTCAGCACAGAGCCCGACGCGGGGCTCAAACTCACAGACCGCGAGATCATGACCTGAGCTGAAGTCGGCCGCCCAACCGACTGAGCCACCCAGGCGCCCCCAGAAAATAACTTTTTAAAAGCTATAGGAGCCTGATGTAGCAATCCTATACCAATTTACCTACTTTACTATAGTGTAAAAGTGAAATGTTTTGATTCTTTCTCCAAATCACTTTCATGTGATGGAGGAGACTGGATTTCATCTTTCTAAAATTTTCACAATTAACCATTAAGAATTAAGAAGATTTCATATAGTAAACCTATTACATGACTTTTTAAAAATGGTAACATTTCAGGCCACCTGGATGGCTCAGTCAATTGAGCATCTGACTCTTGATTTTCGCTCGGGTCATGATCCCAGGGTCGTAGGATCAAGCCCTTTATCAGGCTCTGTGCTGAGCATGGAGGCTCCTGGAGATTCTCCCTCTCTCCCTCTGCCCCTCCCCTGCTCGCATGTGCTCTAAAATTAAATAAATAAATAAATAACGTTTTAAGTCAGGGTTTATAAAGCATATAAGACATGTTTCCCATAAATATATATATATACATAATTGGTGGGTGTTTTTGTTATTTTACTATGTATGGCATCTCTTCTTGCTACAACAGAATTCTAAATTCAATGTGTTATTTTCATTAGGTCAGTATAACCTTACAAATACCGTCATGTTGGGGGTGGGGAGGCCAAAGGAGATTACTCCCAAAGGTTAACATGGATGATATAAAGAGGAAGGTGTCCTCGAGGATTATTTCTAATAGGAATTCGAACTTGAGCAGGGAGCAGGAGGAGGGGGGGTGGCATCTGGGTGGTTCAATCAGTTAAGCATCTGACTTTGGCTCAGGTCATGATCTCGAGGTTCATGAGTATGAGTCCTGCATCAGGTTCTGTGTTGACAGCTCAGAGCCTGGAGCCTGCTTCAGATTCTGTGTCTTCCTCTCTCTCTGCCTCTCCCCAGCTCACACATTGTCTCTCTCTCAAAAATAAATAAAAACATCTAAAAAAATTTTTTTAAAAAGGAATTCAAACTTGGGAGGTTTTTAAAATGCATCTCCTAAGTGTTTCCTAACTTAGTGAAAATGTTATAACATAGGATTTATTTTAATAAAAAGAAGTCTTATGTCTAAATCATATACATTTTTCTTCATTATGCATTAGAGTTAATTGTCCTTTATAACATACTGGTTTTCTATGCCTGCCTAATTTCTTCAGAGAAGTTAAACTTTATATAGGAGCTGACCAGGTTCATCCAGTCAAAACTGAGGACCATTCTCCCCTCCCTCCCTCCCTCCCTCCGTCTCCTTTTACCTATATCACAATCATCATTAAACTATACCACTAAACAACTTTCCTGTAAATTATCTAAAATTATCATCTCAAAATTCCCCTAGTTCATCTACCCTTCTAACTTTTCTGCTTTATTAGTAAAACACAGCCTTTTAAGATAATATATAATGAAAGATATATCTGTATTAGTACACTGTTACTTATATAGGACACCAATTATTTTGTTTTCAGATCACAACCTTAAAATGCAATGTTTACTAACATTAAAACATAAAACTTTCACCTTCAAGAAACAGGAAAACACAAACAGAAAAAACCCACTAATGTTAATTATTATATTCTTACAGAAAAAGGCTAACTACTTGTATTAATATAAATTGCTGAGAGAAGGAAAAAAAAATCTTCAAACATTTCCACCACTGTTTCTGAAATCACATAATTGAGAGATTATAAGATCCTACCTTACTTCTATAATACATGAGTGTCTTGTAACACATTTGGTTTCAATTTAAAATGTTCTCAATCATGGTGCATATAGGAGAACTTACGTAGTCAGTCTAATCTCTATTGCTATAAGTACATGTCCTACCTTTCCAGTTATAAGTGCCTGGGGCTCCAAACACAATGTAATGAAAGTCTTTCGTGAAAGTAGCTGCAACTCCTTGCTGGCAAGAACCAAATTTTTCATGGCCTCTCAATCGGCCATCGCAGAAACTCCAGTCTCCTCCATCCATGTCATCCTCAATCCTGAGATTCTGACTCAGGACGTAACACCTTCCAAAGATGTCGCGGGATTCCTGCTTTGTATTGACATGTTGCCTTTTTTCATATCGGTGAGCACATGTCTGCAAACAGATGGAATGAAGCTGCCCATTAATTTCCACAAAACTTAGGTTTATTATGGACAATTTTATGAATTTGTAATAAAGAGGGATTAATTCTAAATGGGATGTGAAACATGTCCTCATCCTGGGCCTGGATCCCAAACCAGCAATTGTTCCCCCAAGTGGCACTAAGAAGACCGTTATCTAGCACATAGGAACTAGGACTCCTGTCTTCTTTTCACCTGGAGAATAATGCTCCAGTCCAAATACTGAATGCCAATCTGTAATCCACAGGCAATTTATTTGTAAATTTACCTGTCACATAAACAATGGGAAATATCTTATTCCATTTTCTTAATTTAATTGGCTTTAATGGCCGTATGAAATTTCACATCAGTGTGTTTGTGAAAATATGTAATTACATTCCAGAGGAGGGAAATCAGACGTATTTTCATAGGGATCAGGCAAACACAGCTAAGACAAAAACATTTCCCTTTTACCCACACTATTTCCTTATAATCACTCCTAACTTATACTCTAAAGTCTGAGATTAAGTTTATTTCAAAAGGCAGAGAGAATTATACTGCCAGAAAAGATGAAATAATCCCTATAATTTTACAAGATATTCATGGCTACCCTCCATGTAACAGAGGATGAATAGACTTTACAATATCCAAGTTGATTTCCTGTAAGGATCCCTTAGATATCAAAACTTAGTGTTCAGTAAAATTCTCATTTTTTTTTTTCAAAACCCTGTATAAATTTGTTACAGCAGCCAGATTTTGAAACAGACACGCAAGGATGGTCATAAGCCAGCCTGGAAGGCACCACCAAGGCCATCTCACAAAGCCACCTAACAAACCTCTTTTCTTCACTACACTTGTATTTGACTTGTCAGAATAAACAACCAAGAAGTTTTAAATTATCTGATCTTACTTTCCATGACCATTCCCACATTTTTTTTTAATGTTTATTTTTGAGACAGAGAGAGACAGAGCATGAATGGGGGAGGGGCAGAGAGAGAGGGAGACAGAATCGGAAGCAGGCTCCAGGCTCTGAGCCATCAGCCCAGAGCCTGACACGGGGCTCGAACTCACAAACCGTGAGATCGTGACCTGAGCTGAAGTCGGACGCTCAACCGACTGAGCCACTCAGGCGCCCCATTCCCACATTTTTAATAACTCCTCTGAAAGAGACACATAGTTCCTGAGACAGAAACCATGTCTAGTTTTGTGTTTTAAGGACCATCAGAAATCACAGGAAAAATAATGCCTTGATTTCTTCTTGACACCAATGCCTGCTTTAAAGCAGTCAATCTTCTAGAAGGTACAACTCTGTGTGGGCAGGGGCTCTGCCAGTCTTGTGCACTACTGTACGTCTCATGCTGGCATGTAACAGGCACTCAGACATTGTGGAATGAACACGCTTCTCTACACTTACCACAACTTTGCCCCCTGGACCTTGGCTCTGGACGGTGACCCCCATCCATTGATCTTCCTTGCTTTCTGATGAAGGGTCAGCTGTGGAAAGCAGCGCAGGTGAGACAACACAGTTAGGACCTTCAAAGTGACTGGAGCAGTCAATAAACAAGAGATGAACACAATACAAGACGGTTTCTAAATTGCCCAGATTCTGAGTCTTGCTACTTAGTAAATTCATGTACTCAATTCAGAAAAATTATTTCTCATTTTAAGAAAATGGGTAAGTGGTTATTGGTAAGAATCTTCTGTAAAATTCTTAAATAAAATACATAGCTCTATTTGGTAGCCCTCCATCCTCTCTGACACCTAGGGTCCTGAGTACAGAAAGGCATTTGAAAATTATAAGGCTAAGAAGTAGCCCTCCCCCGTATGCCACTTAAAGCAAAGATATATTTAAAAAAGCAGTGATGCAGAAATCCAGTTTCCAAACTCCAGCTATCATCCAAACTAACACAAAATGGGCAGTTCTCTACATAGTATCAAATTTGTTACATAACAGCATGAATCATTCTCTTCATTAGAGATAGGAAGCAAGGCCTCAGATTCACTTTATTATCTATCAATGTCAAAAAGGAAAATAGATATATTTTTAGTCCCTCCCCCCAGGAAAGAGAGATATCACAAACACCATCATGTATGTTCATTTCAGTATCAATCTAAACCTACTGTGTGACCCAGTCTCCAATTTGCTGCCTTCCTCAATGAGAGGGCAGGTATGATTTTTAATCTTGAATCATTACAAAAATGCAAACACTAAGTCACTTTAAGTAGACGGAAGCCAAAATGTTAAAGGGTGATTAAGTCTAAATTACCCATGGGTTTTTGGTTTATTCTTTATACAGGTTGGTGTCTTTTTTACAAGTTTCCCACAATTAACATGTATCATTTGCTAATCAGCAAAAAAACAAAAACAAAAAAACAAACGTTATTTCTAAAATATGTAAAATCAAGAGAAGCACCTAAACGTGAATCTGCAAATCAACTTAGACCAAGAATGTCAAATCCAGCTCGCTTGAGCCTTCTTAGTACACTAACTGCTCTGCTCAGCATGGAGGCCTCACAAAACAAGCCGGTCTGAGCCAGCAGGGAAAAATTATCCACGATGGTCAGTTTTCATTTCAGAGAGAGCTGATACTTAAAACAGACTTTCTCCCACATAGTTTAACAGCAAGCGAGAACTTTTGGCAGCTAAGTACAAGCGATGCCCAATTTTCTTGCCGCTGTGAATTCAGTTTTAACAGCCTCCTGTAGAACCTCAACACATCACTAGGTGGCGACATCAATACACCATATCAGTTTAGAGAGCAGGATTAGGAAGGGCAGCAATTTCAAGCATCCCACCAAACAATTCAAGACATGTAATGAAAACAGGCCCTCTCTCCGAGAATACTTGGACCTCCCTCCCCCCTCATGGAAAGGCCAAGTGGGATACGGGCGAGCTGGCCAAGTGGACACAGTACAGAACACACCATCATTATCAAATTCAATCCGTGTGCAAGGCCCCCGGGAGGTGATGTCGCAGCTGTACAAGCCTCCTGTTCTGTTGGCCCTCTGCAGTGGAAGGGCCACGGCCCGCGGGGCCCCTACGAGCAACCTGTTGACAAAAGAGAGAATTGGGGGATTGGAGTTTAAAACACACTTAACATTTCAATCAGTCAGAACCAAGAGATGTGGGAAATCATTCTTTGTCAAGAGCTCCCAGATGCCCTGCTGGCTTGGGCGCTGGGGAGAGTGAAGGTCGAGTCCCGTGACCGGCTCATGCAACACACGCATGCACAACTAGCCAAGTCAAGCCTCAGAAGAGGGGTTGTTCAAACAAGGCGAAAAGTATCAGCCATCTGTCATAGTATCAGCACCTCTCTGCTGAGTAGGATTCTGGTGTTTTAAAAGACACACTTTTCATAGATAGAACATGACCCCTAAACCTAAACCAAGGACATATGGAACTTAACAGACAAATGCTCCCACACGGGAGGGGGGAAAATGGTCCCGTTAAACTTAACAAGCAATAATGTGTCAATTTCTAACACTGTGCCTTCCTGAGGTATTTTTCAAAGGTAATTTTAACCTTTCAAAGGTAAATTTAACCTAAATCTTCAGTATACATACTGGCTAAATTAATGAAACAAGGAGGCCATTAGGCTGATGTGGCTCTAATGACGTGGCAGCCTATGTAAGCAAAAAATATCTAAGCCTATAAATGCCTCAAGGTTATAAAATCAAACCCAAGGACAACCGATCACAAACAGCCAGTCAGGCTTTAAGCTACAGCTGATTAAATAATTTTTCTTTGATTCTTTACTCCCTGTAAGTAGGTCTTTCCCCTGGTTCCTGTTGGCAGAGCACTCCTAACCACTTCCAACTTGCTGCTGCCAGATTCCCATTGATTTCTGCTCAAATAAACTCGAAGTTTTTAAAATAGGCTTCAGCTTATCTTTTAACAATACTGATTTAGATCCTAAGCTCGCCCAAGTTACAACCGGCCTGAATTTATTTCCCTCCGTCCCCTTCTCTGCCTTTCTGCATCACTTCTTACTTTTGGCACTCTTGAATCAGACAGGGTCCTCCACATTCCTCCTATCAGCCTGGCACAGAGACCACAGGCAGGGTCTGGGCAGTGCCACCTACATACTAGGTATTGTAACGCTCCTTCTTCTTCCCTCCCACCCCAGTGTTGTTAGCTCCTGTAAGAAGGGGCCTTATCCCCAACCCACAATCCTTAAAGTCTCAGTGTCACAGCCAGAAGGGATCTCTAGAGTCCTACTGTCTTTCTGCAGGGTTCCTGTTGCTAATGCTCTTTACTCACCATCTTTGGGTCTGACTGACTCATGGAACAGCTAGGAATAGAGACAAAGAGAAGGAACACACCTGACTGGACAGAGAGAAGCAAGGCTGGAGCTGGGGGAGAGGGCTAGACGCACAAAAGTGAACAAACAACCCCCAGGCAGAAAATAGGCCACTCCTGGCCTTTAAGAAACCCACAAAATTCAGATGCAAAATAAAAATAATAAATAAATAAATAGATACAATAAAAATTAAAATTAAAAAAAAAAACCCACCTACAAACAAAAGTCTCTACCACCTGTCTCTATGATCCCAATAAAGGATTTAACAAAAACAACAACAAAAAATCTAAACCAATACAATGCAGCAGGTGCAACAGAAGGAAATGCACTCAAAAATGGAGGGGCCAGACTTTGTCCAGGGAGGGCGAGTGCAGCCAGGTGTCACAGAATGAGAGCTGGCTCATGCAGGAACACACGCCCCTAGCGCTGTCCTTCCTCCCGGAACCTTGGACAGCAGGCACAGTGAGCTTCCACCTCGAACCCCGTCCCACATTTGAAGGGATGAACAGCATACACCAAAACACAGAACTGGAATGGAGACTCAGCAGGACAAAGGCAGGGTCCTTAGTGCCTGGAAGTTTCTGGCAGAGAGTTGAGGCAAGACCAATGGCCACAGGGACTGCCCCACATACATATTCCATGAATGTTGTCCCAGATCCCAGGAGCTCTGACAAATAACTGAGAGGTGAGCTGGCCTCGACCGTCAGTGAGCAAGCTCAATTACCTGGCAGGATGGGGATGGAACCCTGACCCAGGGACTGGGTGGGACTAGCAAGGCGCTGGGGTCAACAGCGCTGAATCACAGGATGTGAGCACTGGAGGCACCAGAAAGCATCTAGCTCCCTAATTTTACGGAACAGAAAACAGAGGCCTTTGCAAGGAGGATAAGCAGTCTGCCCCTAAGATCTCACAGCTAGATATAGGTATAAGCATATATCTATATAGATACACAGATATAGACAGGACAAAAAAATTACTTTGGAGCAATGTTTTTTCCCATTCCTATTAGATGCTTCCTAGGAAATAAAACCCAGGATTTTCAGGCATTTACAACTTTGCGGAAAGGGCAAAACCTACACAAATGAAACACTGAAACAAGAATTGCTGAATTGCTCTGGTAACTGACAGATGTAAGCAAAATATGGAAAGGCTGAAGGAAGGCGGAGTGAAAGGGTTGCTGGAATTGGGTGGGGTGAAGGTTGGGAAGAGGTTATCTGTAAAGGTAACCAACTGCAACGGGAAGGCTATAAAGAGCAGCCGGGGAGTTCCAAGGTTATTACAGCGTCTTCTCTGACCACTTCCTCTCCTCCTCATCCACACCCGAGGCTGAGGCAGGTGCTGGGCTTGTTATTTCATGTTCACTCATTCACTTATTCATTCCACAAACATTTAAAAACCTTCTAGAATGAGTACGGGTTGCCCTCGCACCCTCCCCCTCCAAAAAAAACTCTGGCCCTGAGGGAGGCAGATTCAGAAGCAGGTACTAAACCAGAGGGAGGCAGAGGCCATGCGAGGGCGGGACCGGTAATCCTGCGCACGGTCCGGGGTGGGGGGGGGGGCAAAACCTGCCTGCGGGGAAGGGGGTCACCCAGACCACAGCAGAGCTGGGGGTGCAGATGAGGGGCTTGTCACCTGCAGAGGCTGACCGCGGGCAGGGGGAAGGAGCCAGAGGAAAAGGAGGGGTGGGAATCGGTGATGCCACAAGACGGAGCTGGGGAGGCGCAAGCTGGTCAGTGGAGTTGGGGGTTCTGGGGTGAAGGGTCAGAGGCACACGCACCCGCGGAGCCCCTCAGCGCCCCAGGCTGCCGTGCCCTGCAGAGGGTAGGCGCTTGCGGACTTCCTGTTCCACGTACACGGACAGTCCGGAGTAGCCCTGCCACCTCCCCCAGCCCCCTTTCTCCTGGCAGAACGGTAGGGCCTCTCCCTCCTCAGTACCTCCACCTTCCACTTGTCCCCCTTATCCAGAGTGGCCAAGACAAGCCTTTAGCAGGCATGTGAGAAATGGGAGGGCTTTCACTCCAGTCTGCCAACCGTGACAGCAAAATTTCATGTGTGCTAAAGACACCAACCTCTCGCAGGAGGAGTCCACCCATGTCGCTCGTGGCAACTGCCGCAGATGAAAGCCGACATACAGAAGAATGGAAACAGCAAGAAGGTCTGAGGGTGTGGGGAGGGGCAGGAAACACAGAAGAGAAGTTGGCAAACACGAGAAATGGACTCCTGGAGAACAACGTTAAGGGTCACGTCGCTGCCTGGTGGGCTTTGCCTGCACGCGTTCCCACCACAGTCCTTCCTCCCAGGTCCCCGGACAGCTGGCACAGTGAGCCCACTTCAGAACCCATCCCACCCTGGATGGAGGGAGGCTGAGTGCTCTGGGGCCCCCAGCAGACCCCCTCCAGCCTCGGGCCCCAGCCAGTCAGAGGAAGAGCAGACAGCAAGCAAGTACTGGGGCGGAAGGGTGCCCCTGCTCTGGCTGCACCTGGTTCCCTGGGCCCACACTTAATCGGAAATTCGGGAAAACAATGACTGGGGTGGGGGAGGGAAGGGCAGGTGGAATTGAGTTGGATAAAATGAGAAGCACAGAAAATGCAAGGAAGCACCTTGATGGAAAAACACAGTAACTAACCCCAACCAAATTCAACAACTGGCAGGCGTCTCAATCCTCAAGGTGAAAGCGGTCTTCTCTGGATCAGGAAATAAGCAAACTCTTAATTCTGCTCGAAACCAGCCTTTATCAGGAGGTCACAGCCCATAAGTGGAGGCTGTGCCTGGCAGGAACAAATACTCAAAAAGAGCTGTGTCCACTCAAACGATACCATCCCCGGTGCAAGTCCCGTCTAAGTCCTGTAGGATGGGCACTGGTCTATAAGCCATTCAAATACAAGCGGCCTCCTGAGCTAGCCGACTGGTACAGCTCCAAAAAGGGTGGTGTTCATGTAGAGGAACCCTGAGGTCACACCAGAGTCCACAGTTTCTGCTCAAAGCCCAGTTTTCTTCACTTTGCCCCCAATTCCTCTAGAGGCTGCTTCGGTGTAGGCAGCACACATTCTCTGGGCACGGCCAGGATACCCACAGCGACTCCTAGGACTCAGGTAGTAGCTGCTGGTCTGTTGAGTTCATTTCCTCTTAAGAAGCAGTGATAGCAGCTGCTGTTATTACTAAGCCACATGTATGGAGGAATTCAAACCTGGAGCGACAATTCATATTCAAAGTGGCAGGGGCCAGCGGATAGAAGTTATGGCCTTCAAAGGGAAGTGGTGGAAATTAACAGAACTGGGTCTAAGAAGCCTATTCCCATATCAGGTCAAAAGAAAAACTGTCAAGGAAGGGCAAGAATCTAAGTTTTAAACTAAGATTGTCTTAGGCGCCAAAAGGAACAGGAAAAAATACTTCCCAGATTGCTTTCCACAGGGCTAGTGAAACATCACCTTTACTATTTTGAAGCTGCAGTCACATAAAAACTGCCCTGGGATTCCAACATATTGGAAAGCCACATTTACAATATAAAACTCAGAGGCGCCTGGGTGGCTCCGTCAGTTAAGCGTCGTCCAACTTCGGCTCAGGTCATGATCTCATGTTCAGGGGTTCGAGCCCTGCTTCAGGTTCTGTGATGACAGCTCAGAGTCTGGAGCCTGCTTCAGATTCCGTGTCTCCCTCTCTCTCTGCCGCTCCCCCCCTCTCAAAAATGAATAAACATTTTTTAAAAATTTTATTTTTTTTTT